CCCGGGCTGCCCCATCAGTCAGTCCTGTGGTCTCCAAGGGTGAACAGCTATGTCAACACCCTTGATGTCCCCCACAAAGGCACGAGGCGGGGAGCAGCGTGGCAGGGCCGAGGGCAGGGGTTTGGCCCTGACTGGCTGGGGCCCCTGATATGATCATGTCCAGTCCTCCATCACCCCACCTCTCTCCTGGCCCCACTCAGGGTCCCTGAACCACCACGAGCCCTCTATCTTCTACCCAAGCTTCCCCTAATCCCTGGCACAAGGGTACCCCATTCCAGCACCTGCCCCCACCTCCAGCCCCAGGACCTGTGGCCTCCGGTGCTTGCCCACAGGCCGGGGTAGGGAGGCCCGGCCCCCGTCTCTGGTCCACTCGCTGCTATCTCTCTAGACCTGTTGGCACAAGGGCTGGGCAGTTGGATGCCCAGCGCTGCTTTTTTGGGGACCAGGGACCCGACAGCGAGGAGTGGCTGGAGGGGGCTGGCAAACAGGAAATCCACAGGCGCCAGAGCGTGGGCCTCAGCTCCCCCCACCTTCCTGGCCCCTCCTGGCACTCGGGGTAGGGGGAAGGGTCCGGGTTGCTGAGCCCCCAGCTGAGCCTGGGCCTCCGAGGAGGCAGCCAGCAGCAGGGCCCAGTCTGCATCAAATCTTCCTCGTTCCATTTTCTCCCTGATTTAATTTTCCGGAGATCAGGGCCGTTCACCTTGGCTGCGGAGGGAGCCGCGCCCGCAGCCTGTTTCGCTCACGGGGTTGGGCGGTTGGTTAGTTCTCAGGCTGGTTCTGCCAGGCCTCCCCTCGCCCCCTCCCAGAACGGCCGGCCACCGGCCCCCGGCCCTCAGCATCGCCCTGGCTCTGCCCCACGCCCCGTTCGGACGCCCCCAACCGCCAGCTTATCTAACGGCACGCCCGTGGCCAGCAGCCTCACCTCCATGTCTGGGCTGAGTGCTAGGAACGGAGCTGTGGGGTGTGGCCTGGAGCAGGGGCTGTGGGCGGCCGGCTCAGGCCTGAGCTCTGCTGTGGCCCTCAGTGTCCCGACCGCCGACGGGGCCTGATTGAAGGGTCCTCCTCAGGGGTCATCGGATCCGTGACGTCCAGCGTAGGAAGCACCTGCCCAGGTGGCCAGAGCCTCCACTTGGGGAACAGGCTGTCCCGTGGCCCCCGCGGTCCCTCCGCCCCTTTCCCCTCCTCGCCCTCCTTTCCTGTTCCCCTCCGCCCCCCCTTCCTCTGCCTGGGCAAGTGGGTGCTGCTGGCTTTCGGGGCTTTGCCTCTCCGTGTGGTTGGGGCCCGTTCGGGTCACTGGGACCTTGTTTTGGGGTGGCTGTCGTGTCCCGGGCGCCCCTCTCCCGGCCAGGGCTGTCGTGTCCTGGGGACCCCGCTGGCTCCGTCCACCCGTGAGCATCCAGGTTCCCATCCAAGGCCACCCGCCTCCAGGTGTCCTCCAGGCTCACCTCCCTGTGTGCAAAGGCGCCCGGGAGGCAGGCAGCTGGGAGAGGATCTGGTGCCCCTGAAGCCTGGGCCCCCGACCCGGCCACCCCTAGGCTGCCAGACAATTCCTGGAGCTGAGAAGGGGGTGGGGGCTGGGCCAGCACTGGGGTCGGGTTAGGAGATGAGGGGAGAGACAGAGGGACAGGGCTCAATGGCTGCTGCGGGGTGGTCTCAGCGGAGGAGGATGCCCAGGTGAGTGGTGGCCACAGACTCACGGTCTGGGATGGGGGAGCAGGGACTCCTGGGAGTGGGAAGGTCCCACTGCCGCCTGAATTCTCCCTCCGGGCCTCAGCCCCTGTGCCACTGCCCCTGCCCTCCCCGTGTGCCCACCTGGTTCCAGACAGCCTGTCCCCTGGTCTGCTGCCCTATCCGCTGCCATCCCTCCTCGGTGGGATGACGCCCTGTCCCTCCCTCCCCATCATGGCTGCGGAGCGACAGCCACCTGTAGGCCTGCACCGTCTCTCTCCGGGTCCAGCGGCCTGTGCAGGTGGGGGACGTGCAGGCTGCGCTGCTGGGCCGTGGGGTTTTTCCAGCGAGCTCGCGGCCAAGGACACCCGCAGGCATGCGATCTCGCTGCGGCTGCTGGGCCCTGCACCCGGTGCGCCCTGGCCTGTCTGTTCTGAGCTGGCTCCGGGGCCAGGGCATGAGGCTGGGGCGCAAGGGAGTCCACGCTGAGCTCTCCCGGGCTTCCTGCTGGGCCTGCGGGCGGACAGCACCTCCCGGGCTCACGAGGGCAGAGATGACCTCCCCCCCGGACTGTGTCTCCAGGGTCTTCCGAGACACAGGGCTCAGCGCAGGGCCCACCCAGGGGACAGGGCGACGGGGCGGGGCCAGGAGAGTGTTAGCGAGAGGTTTGAGGCACCGGAGGTAGAAGGAAGGGGGTGTGGTGCACCCCAGGGGCTCGTTTGGGATTGGGAGGCAGGCTTGGCTGGTGGCTGGACCAGGCCCTGCAGTTCTAGGATTGTGCCCTCACCTCCCCAGGAATTCCCGGCTCCTGTCCCCACCCTTGCCCCTGGGAGGAGTGAGATGGGGCGCAGGGTGAGGTGACCGGGAGCAGAGGCAGCATCAGCCGAGGGGCAGCAGGAGGAACCGCAGGGGCTGGGGACCCAGAGGCTGCAGGTGCACATAGGAGGCGCCCCGGGGAGGCGGGGGGGCCTTGGGTAGAGTGGACAGGAAGAAAGCCTGGCAGATGCAGCCCAGCCTCCAGGGGTAACTGAGCTGCAGGCCAGGATGGAGGTGTCAGGCCCGGGCCCAGCGGGCCCCAGAGCTCTGCTCTGGAACCTGGAACTGGGCATAGGCCTTGGCCAAGGTGCCACGCACACAGGCCCGGTGCTGGGGAGAGAGGAGGAGGGGGCTGTGGCACCCCTGTCTGGGCTCCCCTGTTGTCACCTCCAGGACTCAGGCTGAGTTGTCGGAGACAAGGACAAGATGGCTGGGGAGGGACTGCCGGCGAGGACAGGGAGAAGTGGGGGGAGAGGGGCAGACCCCAGGAGACAGAGACTGTCAGCCCAGGAGTGGAGCCGGTGGCTGTGGACCCTCCGAGGGCAGATCTAGCAGGAGAGGCTGGAGCGGGAAGGGGCTGGTTCCTCCTGCGGAATCCTGGTGCCGTTGAGTAGCAGCGGCGACCTCCGTGCGGGCTTCTGCATCTGGCTGCCTGTGGAGGCCCAGAGAGGGGGCGCCTATCCGCAGGTCCCCGGCTTTCCAGCCCGCGTGCCATCTGCTGGGCGGTGGGGTGTGACCCTGGCACCTGGAGACCCGCTCTTGTGGCGGCTCCCTAGCCCGGCCCAGCCGCCGTGCGGGCTGCGTGGGACACCGGGGCCCGCAGGGAGGATCCTGCGCTCCCCCCACGGGTTGCCAGCAGGTCATGAGGCTCAGCCTCAGGTCTGGGCTGCGCGGCTCAGGGCGCCCCGATAGAGGCGCCTGGGAATGACCTTGACAGGGGCATCAGGTAGGAGAGCGGCATCCCATGCCCTGAGCAGCCAGGCGGCTGCGCCCCCTGCTGGCTGCGTGGCTGAGACGGGGTCCCGCCCAGCCAGGCGCAGTGTTGGGAAAGGTGTGTGGTTCCTGAGACCTGGGTGCGGGAGGGCGGTGGGAGCGGGGGACCTGGCCCACCACTCACAGGCGTGCGTCCTTGGTCCGCCCTCGCCTGTTTCTGAGCCTGTTCCCCCAGCCGTGGGCTCTGGGCCCCGGGCTCCCTGCATTTCCCAGGGGCTCCCAGGCCCTGACCCCTCCTTGACCTCTGTCTCCACGGGGGACCTCGCTCGTGGTGCAGCCTGGCCTGGTGTCCCCTGGAACTCCGCAGCTCCTGGCTTTATCTCACCCCGCAAGTCGAAAGTCGCCACTGCTCTGTGGGAAGGAGCCACTTCACCACAAATTATTTTGTTCTAAGAGAAGGACAAAGAGAAAAGAGCAGCCGGAGGGGCAGGGAGGAGGAGGGGGTGCCAGCCGCTTTGTGCGAGCGTTAACCCTTGGGCTGCCTGGCGCCGGGCGCTGGGCGGGCAGGGGCTCAGGAGGCGCCCAGTCCCCCCTCCGCCCGGTCAGATGCCCGGAGCCTTATCTCCCCTCCCCTCTGTCACTCCACCGACCTTATCTCTCCTGCCTGCCTGTCTCTCATCGCCGCCACTCCACCTCCTGCCTCCTCCTCCTCACCCCTGGGTCTCTCACCCCCTCCTCTGCACAGCCTGTGGGGGGAGCTCAGTCACGGTGACTCGGACCTGCCAGGGTCACCTGGATGGACACCTGCACCCAGTGAGGCCCCGGCGTTTGCAGGGGTGTCCAGGGCACACACATGTGCACGCACAACCCCCTCCCCCAAGCCTCCAGCCATGAATAGAAATGCCCACGGATCTGCTTCTCCGACTCTGTGCGAGCCCCCAGGCTGTTCCTCCCCCCTCCCCCCCACACCCCAGCACCCAGCACCCAGCATGGCACAGGGGGTGTGTGCTGAGCCGTAACACGCTCACTCACGCAGATGCGGACTGTGAGAGTTACACACCCATGTGCATGCCCCCCAAGGGGGGCGGAGACTCATGCCCCCTGTGCCTCTTCCCTGGTCCCTGCCCCCGCTCTCTGTGCCCTGAATGACAGAGGATCCCCTGGGGGCACCCAGAGCTCCCGCTACAATTTCTGCAAATGCCCTGGGGCAGCACCAGCAAAAAGGGGTACAGCTGCCTGAGCCCGTGTGGAGGGGTGGCTGTGTGCGATGCCTGTGGGGGTGTGTAGGTGCGTGTACATGCGTGAGCATGTGGGCATCTTGTGTTGGTGTGTGGTGTGCTATGTGTGCTTATGGGCTCCTCCCCCCCACCCTTCCCCCTTGCAGCTCTCAGCCAGGCAGGGGGGTGCTGCTCATGGCCCCTGGGGAGGAACCCTGAGTCCAGAGGGGGCGGCGACAGCCACAACCAGTGCCAGCTGCGGAGCCGGTGACTGTGTCCTCCAAGTCCAAGAGCGCCCTGGGCCCCCCTCCCAGACCCCTGCGCTCTGTCTCCGTGGCCAGAGCCCGGGGCGGGGGCGGGGCGGGCATGGGACTGTGGGACCCCCTGGCCTCACCCGGCTCTGCTTCCTTCCAGATCTACAGGGACAACCGGAATCTGTTCGCGGTGCAGGAGAACGAGCCTCAGAAGCTGGTGGAGAAGGTGGCCGGCGACATCGAGGGCCTGCTGGCCAGGAAGGTGCAGGCCCTGAAGGTAGGCGTGAGCATCGGGAGGGCGGGCGGACCTGTCCTCGCCTCCCGAGAACCTGCGGCCCTCCTGGCGCCCTGAATGCGGGCCGGCCGCCACGGGCAGGGCTGCAGCCGCGGGGACGTGGCAGCTGCGGCAGGCGCGGGCAGTGTGAGCTGGGGAAGGCTGCACGCGGGGTGACTGGGGCCTGGGCGACCCTGTGTGGGGGTGGTGGTGGGGCCCGGGCCGAGTCCGCCCCTCCCGCCTCCTGGTTCTCCCTCTGCTGTGTCGTACTTACGTGTCCCTGGGCGAGCGCCTGCCGGGATTGTGACCTGCCTGTGCCTGGGGCGGGGCTGCTGGCTCTGATGGGGAGGGGGCGTGAAAGCCCCAGGGAAAGCTGTGGCCACGTGAAGCCAGGCGTCAGGGCCGCGGTCTCCCCTCTAGACTCAGAGCGGTCGGGTCGGGCCTCTTGGCTCCAAGCACAGCAGTTCTGTGAGGCGAGAGCCGGCTGGGCCCCCCCGACCCGCTGTCCAGAGCTGGCCGAGCCCAGGCAGCAGCTGGGAGGGGCTTCTGGAGCTGCAGGTCACACAGTAAATGAGGGAGGGGTCCAAGCGGCTCCCAGATCAGAGGCACAGCTGCAGCCGCCCCAGCCGGTGTCAGAGACCCGTCCAATAAGGAGGAGGGAAGTACAGCCCTGGCTGGTGGGCTCAGTGGTTAGAGCGTTTGGCCTGAGCACTGAAGGGTCCTGGGTTCAATTCCTGGTCAAGGGCACCCACGTACCTGGTCTGAGCCACATGTGGGAAGCAGCCAATCTATGTGTTTCTCTCACATCAATGTTTCTCTCTCACTCTCCCTCCCTTCCACTCTCTCTAAAAAATCAATGGGAAAAATATCCTCGGGTGAGGAGTAACAACAAAACAGGGGAGGGGAGTAGTACTGACACACGAGACAATGGGCACGAACCTGGAAGCATTAACCCAGCGGTTCTCAACCTGTGGGTCGCCACCCCTTTGGCGGTCAAACGACCCTTTCACGGGGGTCGCCTAAGACCATCCTGCACATCAGATATTTACATGACGATTCATCACAGTAGCAACATGACAGTTATGAAGTAGCAACGAACATAATGTTATGGTTCTGTGACACCATGAGGAGCTGTATTTAAAGGGCCAGAAGGTGGAGAACCGCCGCATGATTAAACTCAGTGAGAGAAGCCCATCGCGAAAGACCACCTGGCGTGCGATCCCCTTTCTGGGAAACGCCTGGAGCAGGGAATCCGTGGGCTCGGACAGCCCATCACTGGCTGCCTGGGGCTGGAAGGGCGGGGACGGGGTGTCTGCTATGGGCGAGGGTTTCCTGTTGGGGTGATGGAAATGTTCTAAACTCAGTGTGGTCGTGGTCGCAGCTCTCTGAATGTGCTATAAACCACTTGTGTTGTCTGTGGGTGAATTGTATGGTCTGAGAATTACATATCAATACAGCTCTTTAAACACACACACACGGTGAGCCAGCCCACGCGAGCCGTGCCCAGCTCGGGCTGCCACCCAGCCTACACCCCACCACATCCCGCCCCAGGCGAGAGCCAGGACCCCTTCCTCCCCCAGGAGCTGGCTCCCCTGCCTGCCCCTGTGTGACCTGGATCATGGATGAGGGGGAGCCCCCCACCCCCTGCGGACCCACAGGCCCGGCCCCGAGAGGCGGGCCAGGACTCAGTACCCTTTCCTCTCCCTCCGCAGCCCAGGCCGCGGCCTGTGCAAGTGGCACTGAATGCAGGTGATTCTCAGTGGGGCGACGGTAGGAAAAGACACTCACTGGTGGGCTGAGTGTCACTGGTCCTTCTCACAGCAGCCCCGTGAGGGACGCCCACTTCCCGGAGCGCACCCTGAAACACAAGGTGCCGTGCACCGGGTCGGGGTGTGGCGGAGCCAGGACTTGAACCCAGGTCACTACGACCCTGAGGCAGGCCCCCCACTGCCCGCATTCTCCTCGAGAGGAGCAGAGAGCCCCCAGCCCTCTCCCGGCAGGTGACGCCCCCCCCCCCGCAGCGCCCCCTGGCGGCTGCCCGTGTCCCAGAGGAAGGGGAGGGCCGCCCTCCTCCCACCTGGGTCTTCCTTGTTCAAGATGCGCTTCGGCCTGAATGATGTTTAAATTTGCTTTTCACCAAGGCCTGGCCCTTTCGCCTTTCCCCCGTTTGTTTGCGGCCCGCGTGCACACGGAGGGAGGGGTGTTGGGGGTCTGGGCCCCCGCAGCGCACCTCACTGTTCCTCTCTCCCTGGGCCCCAGCCAGTGGTCCGTCGTCAGTCCTCTTGCCCTGGTCTGGAATGTTAATGTGGGTCCTGCGAAGAGGGAGGTCGTCGTCTCATCTAATCAGGGACAATCAGTGTTGGTAACGGGCGTCTCCAAGCTGCACAGGTGGTTTATGGGCCGCGAGTCAGGCGGGAGGCGGCGGTCAGGACTTCGCCGCACAGGCAGCCGGCAGCCCCGGGTCTGGGAGACCTGCTGGGGCCTCGGCTTCGGAGACACGAGGGGTCGCCTCTAGGAACCCCTGCCTGTGGGAGATGGGTCCTTTGAGCCCGGGCCCGACTGTTGAGTCCCAGGAGGGGAGAGAGACGCCCGCCTCTGATAGCAGATTGGAACAGAGTGGGACCCCGCTAGGACGCCCCTCTCCTCCCAGCTGGGGCCTCTTTCAGGAAGGTCATCGCTTCATGGTTGTAGTCCTCCCTCCATTCACTGATGGCCTGCTGTGTGCAGGCCGGCGCTGGGGTGCCCTGGTGGAGCTCTCATTCCAGGCCCAGCCCTGGCCTTAGTTTTCCCCTCTGTAAAATGGGGACAGGAGACCATCCCTGCCCGGTGCTTCTGGTCCCACAGCTCCAGGAGCCATCATTTCTAAAGGCCACGGTGAGAACAGTGTCCTGAAGGTTGTGCCGCCTTTGGCACCATCCCTGGCACCTCTGCTGCGATGGGACCAGAGGAGAGGCTGGGGAGAGGCACTGACTTGGATAAGGTGAGGAGTGACCCCAGTGCGGGACATTCCAGCCTCCCGTGGAGGCCGAGGCCAAGGTCGTGTGGCCCAGTGGGCTTGGTTACGTGGAGAAGGGGACGCCCGGGGCCAGAGCAGGTCTGGGGGCCATCGGTGGCGGTGAGAAGTCTGCTCTCGAGGGGGGGTTTTCACCTCCAGCCTCAGACAAGCGGGGCAGAGGAGAGGCCTGGCCGGGCACCCAGGACCGGAGACCTTGGCCTTAAGCTCTGCCCTTCCCCTTGCCCCCTGCGCCCACGGTCCACCTCAGCTCTGCCCTTCCCCCCGCGCCCACGGTCCACCTCAGCTCTGCCCGTTGCCCCGGGCCAGGACCTCCCCGAGGCTGTGCCTTTGTGCCTTGGCGTCCACGCAGCGTGTGGGACCCGGCTGGCACCCTGGAGCCTCTGAGGAGTTTTTAAACCCAGATGCCCAGGCCCCAGCCCAACCCGCTCCATCAGACTGTGGAGTGGGGCTGGGCCTCGGTCTGTTTCACACTCCCGGATGGCTCCGTGTAGATTCAGAGCCTGGGACGTCCCCCCGAAATGGCAGAATTAATTCCTCCCCATGATGGCCGGCCTCCATCTGCGTGCCCGCCACGTGCCCGGCCTGAGCTGAGCTGGAACATGCCAGATCGCCCCTCACCCTCCCTACCAGCCAAGAGCTACTCCTCTTATTCCCATTTTACATCTGAGGAAACTGGGCGCCGGACTGTTAAGCCATTGGCCCAGGTCCCCCAGCACAGCAGGCGTTAGATCCAGGCAGCTGGGCTCCAGCCCCCGCCCACTCCCCTCCCCCCTTCTCTGCCCTCCTCGGTGCTGCCACCAGTGGCCACATGGCATCTGCTGTCCACAGGGAGGTGGGGTTCTGGTCTCTCCTGTGATGAGCCGGTGACCTTGGGCCCATCCCTGCCCCTGCAGTGCCTTCCTTGGTCTCACAGCTCCAGGAACCATCAATGGAGACAAGACACTGAGCTCCCCCTCCCTGCGTACCCCCACAAGGCCCCGGTGGACGGGACACGGGGTGCTGCTGCGGCCCTGGTACTGGGGGCGCCAGTGGGCAGTGTTCCCACCGCCAGCGGCCTCTCTGGGGAGCGAGCATCATTTAAAGAGTAAAATTAAAAACCCTTCCGCACGCAGCCGCCCTGCTTTTGCCGCTAATGGCCACTTAACCCAATTAAACGGATGCTCTGTTGGCAGCGTGACCGGGTCTGTTCAGGAACTGGCTCTGGGCTGGGCGCTCAGGGGAGCGGGAGTGAGCCAGGGGCCAGGGCTCGGGGGGCAGATGGTGCCCGTCAGGAAGGAGAAGTCTGCCTGCCCCCCACCCCCTCGCTGCTCTCTCTCAGGCTTCGCCTCGCAGGTGTCTCAGTGTTGGTATCGCTGGCGTTGGAGCAGGGACGTCCGTGTGCGGCTGCTCGGTGCCGTGTAGGATGTAGGCAGCACCCCACTGGGTGCCAGCAGTGTGCCACGCCCCCGGGTGTAACAGCCAAAAATGTCTCCAGCTATGGCCAGACGTCCCTGCAGGCGACGGCCCCCCTGAGTGAGAGCCACGGTCTAATGGACGGAGCGGGGCTGAGAGGCTGGGGCGGCCCAGCAGGAGGACGGTCCCTTCAGTCCCAGGGGCAATGGTGAGCTCAGGGCTGCCTGGAGGTGGCGGCAAGGATTTGGGGGGAAAGCTGGGCATTGAGGCAGCTGGCAGCCACCGATGCCTTCGTGATGGGGGTTGGACAAGCAGATCGCGAGGACAAGAGCCATGGTGTCACCCAGCAGGAGCCTCTTAAACGTTCCGGTTACACCGAGGCCGCGGCCCTGCGTTCTTGCACAGCGATGGTGGACGGAGGGGCTCCAGCTGCCTCCGCCCACCTGCCTCCCGGCAATTAAAAGGTGTGTCTGTGGGGCTGGCAGTGGCTGCTGCCGCCCTCCATTCTGAACATTAAGAGATCTTGACCTTCCACTTTCCCGCTCGAGACAGGAGGCGCGCACGTGGGGCCAATTAGGCGCTGTGTGGGCGCGAG